TAAGTTTCAACTTATCTTTTCCCTTAAGCTTCAGCTTCTTGATCAGCTCCACCTTCAGGCTTCACCTAATCTTCAGGGATCTTCAAGTGTCAACTTGCTCTTGTTGCTCTTCAAGCTTCAGCTGGAATGGCAATACTCAAGGATTCATCCTCTTCAACACTCTTCAATTAAATCTTCATCTTCAAACTCAAGCTCAACATCTCTCAAGATAATCAAACCAGAGGAAATCACTTACTGGATAAGCTGGGGATACTGAACTGCTTACTGACCACCAAAGGTGACCTATAAGGGTTCAACATCAAAGGAATGGTTCCCTCAAAAGTTCTACTTCCTAGGTACATCACTTATCCCTCCAAAGGAGAGAGGTATATACCATGGAAGGACTTTGAATCATAGGGAGTAATGGAGGTGAAAGATACCATCCATGTTTAAGAAAGAAGTTAACTAAGTCTAAACTCTTCCTAATTCCTAACCCTAAAACAACAAAAAAAGAAAATAAGATCAAGCTCTCAAGCTCCTCAATGCATCTTCAAGTCTTCTACCATGCTCCTCAATGCTCCTTAGGACAAGATCAAGCTCTCCAAACCCACAAAGCAAAGCAAACAAAAGCAAAAATGCCCTAAAGGCAACACAAACAATCAACCAATACAAAAATCAACCAAAAATAGTATACCACTATATTAAATCCTAACATAATTTCTAAGGGATCCTATATACCTACCCTTAATACCCATATATGTCCCATAGTCTAATTTGTCATAAAAACCCAAAGTCTAATGTTATTATGGACCTATGTTGAAGTTTGACCTAATTCTACACAACCTAGAATCATCTAGTCAAAACTATCCTAAAAATCATCACAAAATTATGGAATAAATCCAGGGGGAAGTTAAAACATATATCTAACTATTCTAAAAAGAATGACCTAAAAATATTAAGGGAACTACCTAAACTAAATTCTACAAGTTAAGGTATCAACATAAAAGAATTAAAATGCAATAAAAGTAGAAAATATGCAAAAAATACTAAAATGCATGAAATGACAAATATTTTTATTTTATATTTTTCTAGACAAAAATATGAAGTAGGAGAAAAAACTCCCATAAAAAATGTTTAATTTTCCATTTAATATGATTTTCCAAACATTGAAAGAAAAATGGAGAAAAATAAAATGGAAATTATGAGATGGGGTGCAAGAAGTAAACAAATGCAGTTCAGTTCACGCTTGGGCCCAGACTGGGGGGTGGGGATAGCATGCGCGCTGGGCCCAATATCTAATCAGAAAACAATTAAAAAACACAAAGAAAATAAAAGAAACACGGTGCAAATAGTCATGATATTCAGTTCATTATGCAATTGGGCCTCAAAGGGGGGTGAGACTAGCAATAATCACTTAGGCCCAGAGCCACCATTTAATGAAACGGTGCGTTTCGCTTCTCAGCTTCCCTCTCAAAACGAAATCAAATCGTGGCCCTCCGATCCAGTCCTCAGTCAATGGTCAACTTCCTCATCCAACGGTCGTGGGATCGTCTTCAACCTCCCACCTAGGGTTTTGCTGCAACTCCATGAAAACAGATTCCATGCAACCATCTTCCACCCACTCGTGTTACCTCAAATCAACATCAAATTCAACCATTCAAAACCCTAAGTTGCTCAGTTTTTCATGCTGAACACGGTCCTAATCTTGGATTAAACTGAAATGGCCTCTATCATAGAACCCGATGGTGGATCCAAATTAATCTCAAAATATGATCAATCCTCAACTTCAACCAACCTCAGATTTCTTTACATCAAAATGTTCACCACATTGCCCTAGTCAAAACTAGCTATCAAACTAGCATTATCACTCACTATATCGCAAGTTCTTGCTCCATAAAGAAATGGTATCCATAACTGAAACTCCACCAAAAACTTGATCGGGAAAATAGCAAGTGTACTATTTTTACCGATTGTAGTAATAAGGGAAAAGTTCCAAGTATCGATCTCGAGGACTGCGTAGTAATTAACGGGAATTTTAGTATTCAAAGGAACAAAAAGTCTAGGGGGTTGTTTGGTAGCAGAGTAACACAACAAGTAAATAAAGACTTATAGATCAATCTAAGAACGATGTTAGGGGAGTGGACACGATGTGAGTAAAGACCCTGTGAGATTATCCTGAGATAATAGTTATTAACCTTAATTCATCAGTTCTCAAGTTTAGTTTTCCTTAATTCCTTAATAAAAACCCTTTAATGAGTTTCATGTACACTAATTCCTCAGTGTCCATGAAAAACATCAAGCAATAGTTCTGACAATAAAATACGTGATACGGGATATCCCCATTCCTAAGCAATATCTACCGTAATATTATTTTGCAAAAGTGTTAGGTTGACTTTCCAGACCAAAACCTAATCATCAATCGAATTCTACTTTCCAATACGAATACGCATTAAGATTGTTGCAAAATAAAATATAGATAAGGTGAATAACATAATTCTCATAGAATAATCAAACAAATGTCATTACATCGCAACTTAGGACCACCCCCTAACAACTGGGGGTTTAGCTACTCATGTTCTTAGTAAAAACAAATGCAAGTAGAAATAAAAAGGAGAAGATCATTACAATTCAAGTTGGGTCACTTGGATCATCAATTGCTTCCGCTTTTGATCGATCCTTCGTTCTCCAGAAAACTCTCTCCTCAGTTGTCAATCCTATTCCCAATTCAAAAGTGTCTCCTTCTTTCTAAAAAGTGGCTCTTATATCTAAATTCAAATTACATCGCGAAATGTCTCAAATGCCCTTCGAAATAGGTCTGACAGCATAAAAATCAGAAAAACAACAAATTCACTATCAGTGGCCCTGACACGGGCCGTGTTGTGCAACACGGGTGGTCGTGTCAGGCTGCTGAATCCACAGAGCGCATTTTCTCCTACAGGGGCTGCAACACGGGCCGTGTTGTGTGACACGGGCACCCGTGTTGCTCTTCTGTTCTCTATTTTTCTCTGCTCATCTTGACCGTGTCTTCCAATCGTGTCCTCCCTGACACGGACCGTGTTGTGCAACACGGGTACCCGTGTTGTGCCTCTGAATTCCATTTTTCGACTTTTCTTTGCCTCCGAAATGGTGTGACTGTCGTGTTATCAATTCCTGCCAAAAACACACTAAAAGAAACTGAATCAAACGCACCAGCGGCAAAAGTAATACAAACTTCAAAATAAGACTTGCATAAAAACAACTACGAGTAACTAAGATAACAAAAACCAAAGCTTCGAAAACAGATAAAAACAGTGCAAAATCAACAACAAACAGAGTCTGAAAACACAAGTGAAATCTACCGATCATGTCCAGGAGTCATTCTAGGGATTGAGGAGAATGGTTACTTCTAGGAGCAATTTGTCAAGGATTAAGGCAAGATTTTATTATTCAGAGAGAATACAAACTGCTTAATCCCTATAATGACAATTTGTTTTAAAAATTATTGCTCTACATGTGTAATACGAGTCTCGCTTTTGAAAAGGGTAGCATCCTGATTTCAGATGCATTTCCTAATCTAGAAGAGTTGAACATTGATTACTGCAAAGATTTGGTGGTATTGTCTAATGCAGTATGTGATATCACCCCATTAAAGAAACTCAGTGTTACTAATTGCCACAAACTTTATGCACTTCCTCAAGATATTGGAAAATTGGAGAATTTAAAACTTCTAAGGCTGAGTTCCTGCACTTATTTGAAAATGATACCAAATTCCATTGGAAAACTTTCGAATCTAAGACATCTTGACATCTCAAACTGTATAAGCCTTTTAAGTTTACCTGAGGAGTTCGATAATCTTTGCAATCTAAGGAATCTGTACATGGCAAGTTGTGGAAGTTGTGAATTGCCATTCTCAGTCATGAATGTTTTGAATTTGAAGGAGATAACGTGCGGCTGCTTCATGGGAAGCTTTCAAACCTATGCTTCCCAATATGAAGATAGAGATTCCTCGTGTTGATGTAAACTTAAATTGACTTCAATGAATTATCTTCCAAGACCTCTTGTCTGTATCACTATCTGAGTTTTTAAATTCTAATTAATTATTTTGAAAATAGTGTGCTACTTGTTGCATAATATATATAGGAAATTTAATATATATTGTTTGTATTTTTTAACATGTAATGTCATTAATTTATAAGAAATATTGCTAATTGATGCATAATAAATTATTGAAGTGTTTTTATAGTTTCAAATCTTAATGCTATTAGTGGATTTTAACAGGATAATTTAGTTTGATTTCCTTTGCACTCATCTTCAATTATTGTAAAATTATAGAAAATATGTCTACCGATGGCGATGAACCCGTACCCGTGGCTTGATTAACAAGTAAGCCAATTGATCCTTATCTGAGACATGTATTTATTTATCCTGTTGAATTAGGTGTAAAGGATAATGAATTAATCATGCATGCACCTACTTGCTAAGTGCAAATCTATTCATTTTAATTTTAGTCTTCAAAATATTAAAGCCATTCACCAAATTGTACAACTTCTTCATAGCACAGTAATTGAAAGTAAATTGCATAATACAATAGTGGTCCTCAAAAAAAAAAATTTAATAAAACATGGATTATGACTGAAGTGTAGGAGTTGCACTTCAAATCATCAATCATTAGAAAAAGAATATTAGATGTTACTGAGTCTATTGCCAAATAGTAACATTCAACATTCAACGTTAGAACAAAAACATCCATATCAATACTGCACTATATGATAATGGACACCAGGTTATCTTCCACTCAATACAAGCCAATGGTTTGACAGGTCTATGGCCAAACAAATTACCTGTGATTACCATTTTCAATTAATATTCCATATCTTGTCTTTTGGAGTTCCCTAACAGTGACGGTGTGTAAAAAATCCTATAATAAACAAGTAAATTCTAATTTCATCTCGAAACTCGGGTTGTAGTTTGGTATCTATTTGTTGGGAATTTAGAAAGAGACGCGTTGAAGCACTTCAAAAATCACAATATAGGCGAAGTGGCTATGACGTGTTGTTGTTGAATGCTTTTGCACATAGAACAACACCGGAGGAAAGTGAAGCAAGAATGATCGAGACGCCCTGCCTAGAACGCCAAAATTCACACCATGTCAAGGGTCCAGTGACCCGGACCAAAACCTTCTGGAATTGTTCGTTCAAGTCATCTAGTGAACCGGTGTTGTCTATTACTATATTAGCTTTACTCTTTTTATCATCCAGTGGCATCTGAGCATTAATCCTATTCCGGCCATCCTCCTCACTAGACTTGTCTCTTGCCAAGAGCCTCTGAATCTGTGTTTCAGGATCAACCCACACAACAATAATGGGCGTCGTGAACTTGTCTATCTTGGCCTCAAATAACAAAGGGACATCAAGAACAATGACCTTGTAACCTTTCAACCATAGCTTCCCAACTTCCCAGAAGATCCCCGATGATATATAAGGAGCCAACAATCTAAAGCAACAATCACAACCAGAACTTCAAACTAATAAAATGTAATATAATTCATGCAACATAAATTTAGAATACCGGTTGAGAAATTGACGCTTATCAGGATCCGCAAAAACGATTTGGCCAAGTCTGGGTCTGTTAACTTCTCCATTGTCTAGAAGAATTTCCTCCCCGAATGCCGCAACAACTTTTTTCCAACCACCGCTACCTTTCTTCAAAGCCTCCTGGTAACTCAAATCCCAATAACCGCGGAACTTGTAAGGAGTCTACCACATTAAAAGCAAACCTAAAAGATAAAATAAAACACGGAAAAGAACCATACACGAGCAACCACATCAGCATCGACAACAGGGATGTCATGAGACTTGAATAAATTGGAAACAGTGCTCTTCCCACTTGCTATTCCGCCGGTCAGTCCAACGATCCTCATTCCTTCTATCAATCACTGCACCCTTCCAGCTTGTCAGCTATTTATTCCAAGCTTTCTTTCCTTTGCCCTGGTGAAGCAGTCACGGTCAAGAAAACATTACATATTGGAATATATTATAGTTGCTGGTTGAGTACGGTACAGACCAAGGTTACACAACATTCCTGCTAGGTGAAGGTCAACTATTTTAAAGGAGAAGAAAACAAATGAGCCCTTAAGACCCAATCTATAGAAAAATACAACTTAAATGGCATCGTAAAAAAATGTGGAGCCTTTGAGTGCCGAAGGTTTTTACTTAGTAATAAGAGACCAATAACTGAATATAATAGTATATACTAATATAAAATAATAGTAAAACAATTACTTGTATTGCCTTCATATAAAAAAATCTAAATATTTAAATAGCAGCCATCCCCCGATGTGCTGCTGTTCCGGAATAGACAAACTAGTATCAAATAGGACATGCTAACACAAAAAAAAAAAAAACATATTGTATCGCAGTATCAGATAGATTATGAACAAACAATGAAACAAATATATAGTTTGCACTAAAGTTCTGAAGAGATTTTTTTTAAAAAAACAGTTAAGTTATTGGAAGAGGATCTCAAAGTCACTACCAACTTCACCTAGGTTGTTTATAGATCCCACATTAGTCTACTAGACCAGTTGTCAAATTCTGTTTAGAAATAAGGTCAGATACCTAAATGTTATTGTTTAATTGCTAAATATGTTATCACCTATGACTAAAAAAAATCTGAGCGACCAAGTGTAAATCCTTGTCTTGGCCTTTAAACAAAGATGAACCAATCAACCTATTAAAACTCATGAGCTAATTTGGTTTTCATCTATGGCCTTGGACCACAAACAGCTTAAAAATACAATCGCAGAAGTTGCAATAGGCATCAGAAAAATAAAGTATGCAAGTGAAGGCTGATTCAAATTTCCGATAGATGATCCAATGCCCCGTTGGTTATCTTGTGTCCTAAGCACTATAGAGTAGTGATCCAATGTGTGGATAAAACTTATATAGCTGATATGAACAAAAATAATTTACCTCCTGTCTTTCAATAAAACCTTGTTGTTTGAGATCATACAATTGGAAAGAAACTGCAAGAAGGAAAAGTTGGGGATCCCCAATAAGTTTATGCATTACTACCCATAACAATGCAGTAAGGGAAATTAATAAACACTTGTAGAAACGACAGATCCGTAGTACACCCATCTCTCATGAATACCTTTCCATTCAATATCCAAATAAAAATGTTCACTAAATGTTGGTTATTCTTACAGTCAATCTTATCATCAATTGGTGCATTGTAATAAGATGAAGGAGAGGCTGAGGACTGAGTGAACCTCAATCTAAATCAAACCAAGATCAGGTCGGGAAGGAGAAGAAGAAGGGACGATTAAAAGAATACAGAAATCTTACCTTGAATAGGGGATTGAAGCATTGAGCGGGTCGAGATTGAAAATGAGAACCAGAGTCGGGGTAAATCAGAGCAACAAACGAATCGTAAACCTGAATCCCGCGTCGGAGGTTGTTGAAACTTGATGATGCTGTGAAGAAAGCCGTCGAGGCGAGAGAGATCAACTGAGAGAGAGCTCTGTGAAAGAATCGTAAGGAGGACCGGAAACGGCGCAGGAAAGCACGGCTGGTTGAGATCGGGTTTGAGGTATCCCTTTTGTTTTTTTTTTCTTTTTATCAGAATTAAATTATTATTCTTGCAAATAAACTTTGGTTTGTGAATGAGACCCAGCCTCCTTGTTTTTACACTCTTTACTATTTTTTTTTTATTTCAACCTCTCCATATAGTGATTCTTTGTAAATATTTCATAAATATATTTGATTAATCTTTTTTGTAAATTCTTTTTAGTTGACCTGCTTGTTAATCACTTTGCTAAAAATCTCTTGATAGCTATTTTTGTAAATATTATTCATATTAAGTTTTCTAATCGTAAATATTTTATTTTAGTTAGCTATTCTATGTTTTAGAATTTTGTTTAGCTATTTAACTTATTAATTATTTCAATGCAATATTTTTCTTATTTAATTTTTCTAAGTAATCTTTGATTTAGAACTTAAAATATTTAGGTTTTATTCAATTAATTTCTTAGTTGATCTAACTACTAACCTATGACTTGATTTGTTTCCTTTACTTGGCGTTCATGATTTCGATCTTATCTTGACTATACTTTTGTCTCATAACTTGTGCTTATCTTTTCTATCATATCATTTCTCTTTGCCTGATTTTATAACTGGTACTTTCACGTCTTGATACTAATTACTAATTCCTCTACAAGTTGTTTATCTGTTCCAAAGGAAGGGGCCCCCTTTATTGACTGCATGTCATATCATAGCCTAGACTTGGAGTCTCCGTGCTCTATTTAGTTGTCCCGCCGTGGACATTCCCTTCCTTACTAACTTAAGTTTAGTTTAGAGTCGCCGCACTCTATGTAGGTGTCTCACAACAGACATTTACTCTTTCTCATTGAAATCTTGACCACAGTCAAGAGTTTCACACCCCTAGTTAAGGCATCGCATCTAGTTAGGCACGAGATGCGATGTCTTAGCAAGCATACTTTGTATATACTTTAAATCTTTACCTTAGCACTTTTCCCTTATTAAGCAAAATTTAGAATAACACAAATACTAACAATAGGTTCCTATAGAGTACTACATATACTTAAGATGCTAATACCTTCCCAAGATATAACCAACCCCCAAAACCTTAGATCTCTTAGTTATGTTGTTACATAACGCACTTAGGTTTTCCACATAAATAACTCAAATAATCTGATTCTCACCGCAACAAGTACACATAAATAACTCAAATAATTATGCAAATGTATGCATTTTGTACATAAATTTCTCATTTTGTACATAAATTTCTAATATTACAAACTACAACAGAGTGGGCACGAGATACAAATGTAAAAACACAGATCAAATATGATTGTTCATCAATAAAGGTGCAACACCACTAGCATAGCAGTAATTACTCAAATGAAGAAATTAGGCTACTTAAGTAACAAGTCAGGATATTAACAACTGAAGAAACTTGTGCCGCAAGTGATTATAATAAACCTGAAAGTGGCATCCAGACTATAAGTTCTATAATCCATCATTGCCTTTAAAAGCAAAACCAAATTCATTCTTTTGTTGCATAATAGTTAATAGATTTAATATCCTTTTTCGTCGCTTATCTTTGATTCGGAGTTCAGTTTGGTCTCTTAACTTTTAAAAGGACTGTTTTGGTCTCTTAACTTTTCAAACATTTTGATGGTGTGTCTTCTACAATAAGTGGATTAACCAAACAAGAAAGCTGCATTCTAAATAATCCCAAATAACAAATACTAACACTTTATGCAAACAAGAAAGTTAATGAAATCACAAAAATATACCAGAGCTTTTACTACAATGATGGCAGCAGCTTCGATTCTAATGATGGAAGCTTTGAGTTGGGTTTCTTCAGTCTGGGTAGTTCCTCAAATCGCTAAATTATGAAAAGAAAACTATATGTTAGGAGGAGAAATCTTGCTTGTTAGAGTGATTGCTGTTGTAGTGAACATTCCACTAATCTACGCTAAAATCTACACAGCCCGGTCAAATCTTATTTCACAATTACAAATCAATGCTTGATAATGCTAAGAAAAAATATTACCGTCACATAATCAATTATTTTCTCGGCCGTCGAGAGAAATAATCATAAACAACGTATCAAGATCGCGGGAATTCTTAAAATAACACTAGATAGTAAATAATACATGGGTTCAGTGTCAGTAAGCATAACACAAAAGTATTAAGTTTGAAAATGCAAACCACAAGAAATTTCTCAAGTAAAGCAACAGAAGTAATCTACAGGCAATTGTTTACTCAAAGAAGATCATACACTATATATATTAATGCAAACAATAATACCTATATAGTGGGAGACAATTTTCTTCAATATATCAGCCTTGCTCATACACTAAATAATTTCTCAAAGTAAATAATTTGACACAATACTGAAACTAACACAATACCGATGGTGACACGTAGCATTGATAATAATTTTGTTATGGATTTGATTTCATGATTAGAATATTGATTAATTAGCTTAAGTAACAACAGAAATTTAAAAAAACTCAAGAAAATCCAGAACACCATAGAATTTAAAGTGAAATTGAAGCAACTATGCTTTGCACTGCCAATGATTTACAAGGGTGGAAAGATTTTTCATGATATGCTAGTGTAAAGGGATGCTAAACCAACTACGCTTTGCACTGCCAATGATTTACAAGGAAGGATAATAACAGCCTTAGCTCTCAAGCCTGGCGAAGGCGAAAACTCTTGGTCGGCCACTGCAAATGTTTTGAGAAACAAGCCTTAATGCTATCATCACCGACGACATTACAATAAAATGATCAGCAAAATATAGCCAAAAAGAGCTGACATAGTGAAACAGATGGATAATTTGCATATAAGGGACGTCTTCTTCCCAAAAGAAATCAGAAATACTGCTTCCAGGAGAGACGAATGTCCCAAAATATCCAATTAAATATATTAATTTCAATAAAATCACTGATTGAAGGAGAAATCATCAGATAGGAGCGAAAGACTAAAAGATTTGTTTAATCATGAATAGATCAGTTGAACTATGCTATTGATCATCACATGAATCTCCATCAACAATGCCAATCAAGTAAATAAAATTAAATAAAAAGATAAAGTATAATTCCTCAGAAGGAAGGCAGTATGGTATAATAATCATCAATTTTCATACCTTAAAGATGAAATAAATTGGGGAAAATTAAGCTAAAAATTAGATCTAAACATGATTAAGAAAAGAAAAAAAAGGCCTCATAGAGAATATTAGATTTTCCACATGAATTAATTCAGACATATGCTTGTCTATTAATTTGTTTAATCATCGGCCAATTGACCAGAAAAGGATTGCGAAATTTGAAGAAAATGAAAAGAAAAACGAAAAACACAAATTGATTGAGAAAGAAGAGACTCAGAA